CTCAGTACAATGGACTGACTGATATGACTCAGTACAATGGACTGATTTTCGGTCTATAAGTTTATATGGACATGAGCAAGTCTAATATGAGCTGATCTACAGTCAACAGAGTGTACGTACACTACTCAAATCAATAAACAAACAGAAAAATAAGTGAACACAAGACAAACCCATGTACAAAATTTCCAAAATCTGCCCAGTACTGTCTGAGAAACAACGACTGTTGCGGACGACGGACCACGGACAAAACGTGACTTGAAAAACCACAATCTAGAAATATGGTGGGGCTCATTAAGTATGATTTTGAAAAATAAATACCAAGCAAGTTAAAATACAGAACCATCAATAATAACTACACTGCTTATAGACTGCATGGCTACCATATCATGCAGCCCCTAAGTTTTTATGAAGAATTTCTCAACTGCATTTTACTACAAGCCTATCTGACCCTAGTTAGAGAACATAGAATATTCTAGAGACAGGGGCCAGTTTACACTGCTAACTGTATTTTACACTTTGTAAATGTTGATCCACCCTTTAACCTGTTTATTTAAAAAGAAAAGAAAATGCCACAGAATTTCATCTGCAATAATTCTTCCATGTACTGTAAGGTATACACATGTAGCCTGTGTCTGTCTGCGTGGGTATCACAGAGATCAATCAATTTAGAGGTAAGACATGGAGGCTGCAGCTGTCAGTATTTAGGTCAAGATGGGAAATAATTAACTCACAAAACAGTGACACACATATATATAGGTTAATTATACTGTGGGTGTGGGTCCACAATTTATTTGTAATTAATCATTTAGTTGTTGATTTTTTTCCCCCAGAAGATCAATGGAAACGGCAGGTTTCATTTTAATCATGCTTATTACATGACAATGAGGTCTCTGAAGTACATCAAGTCTGCCTGCACTAATGGTGTGTAAGGATTATCTTGTAAACGGTTCCTTGTGACGACCTAATGAAGCAATAATTCTTAACGATTTGTAGCCCATCTTCCTTCCTGAAACATCTGATAGCAAAGTATTAAAATGTTTTGTCTCACATTTCTATTTTTTATACTTAAATCCTATTGCATGTGTTATATATATATGTTTTCTTTGAATGACCAAATCAGAGGCAAAAAGAGGCAAAACGAAGCATGCACTCTGTGAGATTCAGGAGCCTTAGCATCATACTTAATCATTCTGTGACATTTTTGTGGTGCAAGCCTCCTTAAAATTGTCAATCCTATTGATTTTATATCTCTGCTAGCCAGCTGTTGATTCCAAATCAATGCCCTCCAATTTGAGGGTTAACCAACACAATAATGACCCAGCCTTTCATAAGGCCTGATCCCCTAAGCCTATCCAATGGTGCTACAATTTCTGTCTGACGATGTACAAAATTAATGGAACTATGAATAGTATTTCTAACTTGGAAAAACCTCTGATGATTGATATTTTTAACAAAAGGAATGAATATGCCCATGTATTTGATTACATCTTGTAACAAAACGTGTGTTATGTAACAATCTATCCTTTGTTTACACAGATCATTGTACATGTATCCCAGTCAGTCAGATCATTGTACATGTATCCCCGTCAGTCAGATCATTGTACATCTATCCCAGTCAGTCAGATCAGTGTACATGTATCCCAGTCAACCAGATCATTGTACATGTATCCTAGTTAGTCAGATCATTGTACACTTACCCGCGACAGTCAGATCATTGTCCATGTATCCCCGTCAGTCAGATCATTGTACACGTATCCCCGGCAGTCAGATCATTGTACACGTATCCCGGGCAGTCAGATCATTGTACACGTATCCCCGGCAGTCAGCTCATTGTACATGTATCCCACTCAGTCAGATCATTGTACACGTATCCCGGGCAGTCAGATCATTGTACACGTATCCCGGGCAGTCAGATCATTGTACACGTATCCCCGGCAGTCAGATCATTGTACACGTATCCCCTTCAGTCAGATCATTGTACACGTATCCCCGGCAGTCAGATCATTGTACACGTATCCCGGGCAGTCAGATCATTGTACACGTATCCCGGGCAGTCAGATCATTGTACATGTGTCCCAGTCAGTCAGATCATTGCACATGTATCCCAGTCAGTCCGATCATTGTACATGTATCCGAGTCAGTCATATCATTGATCATGTATCCCAGTCAATCAGTCATTGTACATGTATCCCAGTCAACCAGATCATTGTACATGTATTGTTGAAGGTGATCATTTCATCAACTGTTGATCTGGTTTTAATTGAAATATAGATTAACCAACTGTCCATGTATCCCAGTCAGTCATATCATTGTTCATGTATCCAAGTCAATCAGATCATTGTACATGTAGCCCAGTCAGTCAGATCATTTTACATGTATCCCAGTCAATCATATCATTGTACATGTATCCCACTCAGTCAGATCATTGTACACGTATCCCCTTCAGTCAGATCATTGTACACGTATCCCGGGCAGTCAGATCATTGTACATAGTCATGCTCATTCAAAACTTAATGAGTATAGTCAGTCAGATCATTGTACATCTATCCCAGTCAGTCAGATCATTTTACATGTATCCCAGTCAATCATATCATTGTACATGTATCCTAGTTAGTCAGATCATTGTACATGTGTCCCAGTCAGTCAGATCATTGCACATGTATCCCAGTCAGTCCGATCATTGTACATGTATCCTAGTTAGTCAGATCATTGTACACTTACCCGCGACAGTCAGATCATTGTCCATGTATCCCCGTCAGTCAGATCATTGTACCTGTATCCCAGTCAGTCAGATCATTGTACATGTATCCTTTATTTATACAGTGCCGCGGTATTCTGAAACTGATTATAAAGAGACATTCACTCCTAAAATCTAAATGAGATTTTTACATTTGGTTTGTTTTCAGGTTGTTTTGTCTTTAGATCAGACACACAACATTACGCTGGTGTGTACAACATTATCACACTGACATGTACCATATCCCACCATGATGAGTCAAAAATACGCTATTATCACAAATTTCTCTTTGGTGGCAATTAAGGTAACATGTATCCCAGTCAGTCAGATCATTGTACATGTACCCAAGTCAGTCAGATCATTGTACATGTATCCCAGTCAGTCAGATCATTGCTATTATCACAAATTTCTCTTTGGTGGCAATTAAGGTAACATGTATCCCAGTCAGTCAGATCATCGTACATGTATCCAAGTCAGTCAGATCATTGTACATGTACCCAAGTCAGTCAGATCATTGTACATGTACCCAAGTCAGTCAGATCATCGTACATGTATCCAAGTCAGTCAGATCATTGTACATGTATCCCAGTCAGTCAGATCATCGTACATGTATCCAAGTCAGTCAGATCATTGTACATGTATCCCAGTCAGTCAGATCATTGTACATGTATCCAAGTCAGTCAGATCATTGTACATGTATCCCAGTCAGTCAGATCATCGTACATGTATCCAAGTCAGTCAGATCATTGTACATGTACCCAAGTCAGTCAGATCATCGTACATGTATCCAAGTCAGTCAGATCATCCCACCATTACACTGCTGTGTACGACATTATTCCACTGACATGTACCATATACCCCCATTACGCTGCAGGGGTGTACGACATTATTACACTGACATGTACCATATCCCACCATGATGAGTCAAAAATACACTATTATCACAAATTTCTCTTTGGTGGCAATTAAGGTAACAACAAAGTTGTTTCATCATTATCAGAGGAAATTTGATTTAATGCAATAGAAAAATCCATTAGATTTCAGTTTGCCCTCGACTGATGAATTGATTCCACACCTAGCGATACATTCAGTGTTTCGTCAGGCAATAGCTGTCATGCCTGTCTATAGATTTTTCTAACATGCATTTATTTATTGAAGATATGTCAGACTCAAAGCATGGAATTGAAATGACATACAATGCAATTTTCATTCTTGTAAAATAAAACGTAGTGGTGAGTCATGCAACAAATTATTGTAATGTGTGCTTGAATCACACTCATCAATATCCCAACATGCTGGTTACTCTCACAATTCAGGGTTAAGTGGTTTTAAACATGCATTTCAAAGTTCTGTAACGAGCAAAAGATTTCCATAACACATGCAAAACCTGTCTTATATCTCATATAATGACAAAAATCTGCTTTACTTCAGAGCGTTGCTATGGTAACCAGGTACTCAATTATTCATGATCATTCAAAACTTAATGAGTATTTAGTCATCCCTAAAAGCAGCACAAATCTGCTTGAAAGATAACATGACAACATAGAAACTGTAGTCATTGTTCAATAACTGATGGGTAAGCAGTGATAATTACCGCCCAACACTAAGGTGTACTTTTCATTTTATGTTTTGAATTAATTTAAAAGTGAACTAATTCACAAGAAATCAAACATCACCAGTATTTTGTTTTAAGTGTTAAGTACACTGAAATTAAATCCTCAGGAATAAAGTAAATGCATTGGGTTTTTTCTTTACAAAATTGACAATCACAGAATACATATCCACACACATATTTTTTATAAATTGTTGAAGGTGATCATTTCATCAACTGTTGATCTAGTTTTAATTGAAATATAGATTAACCAATCATATACGCGATATATCTGGAGACCACTCCCAGTCAGACACAAACAACCAATAAGAAGAGCTCTTACGTACATTTCAAAACATGCACATCCAACACACAAAACTTAGAAGCAAAAACCATTCGTGTTATAAAAGGATTAAACTGAAGAGGAGATGCTGGTAATTGTAAATAGGAAACACAATACAATCATAGTACAATCATCAAGGTTTCCAAACAAACCATGTATCATTATTTATTTTTAAACATTCCAGAAAATTTACCTTGTCTGTTTCGTGTAACCTGCCCTGGATATAGGAAAGTAGACAATAAGTTTAACAGAACAATCACACAGTCATTTTGTACCTCGAGGTACACATACAACTTTAGTAACCATCATTTAATCGTTTACAAATTATTCCATATTAGATATGAGGGATATTCATTTTTATCTATCAGTTTTATTCATTGAAAGGTCATGTCCTAATCTAATCAATCATGAGTACTGCAGTGCAGGATGTAGTATGATCCTATCCACTGTAGCCAGTCACTCTAACCACTGAGCCATGGAACTTGTTTATGGTATATGTAAGCCAGCTATCGGGTGAAAATTAGAAGATTTCAAATCACATCGAAAACTTAAAAGCTTTTATAACTGTAACAGTTCTAATCAGAGTCAGTCAGATCATTGTACATGTATCCCAGTCAGTCAGATCATTGTACATGTATCC